AGTTAAGATCATAGAAATTACATTAAATATGTGTATATAGAATGTTATAGAATTCTATAGAAACTTGTACCTCTATAAAACAATTTTATAGAATATAATTTCTATAGAAATTGATTAATCTCTATAGAAGGTCTATATAGTTCTATAGATTTTTTCTGTAAGGGTATTTTCTAAGCCTTTGAAACCTCTAAAATGTCATATTTTTGAGAGATTTTCCCTGCTTCCCTATTCTGCTGAAATAATTTAAAAAAAATTTATATTATGAAAGTCCTGGCAGTATAATTAACATTTACATAGCCAAAGTCTAGGCCTATACTAAATCATGGTGTATAATAAAACATACAACCTTAAAACACAAGTTTAACAAGCTAACAATAACAGGTGTTGTCATTTAATCTGTTCAGCCAACCACAGATAATCTCAAATTACTTAATTTGATTGGTCACTTTATCCATGTTTATCACTGAAGGCCATGGAAATTAACAAGGTGCTTTTGAATGTTATCAATTAACTGAAAATTGTTAGTGGTTTTAGAGCTCTTTTTCAGTGCACATTCATGATGATGAAACAGGCAGTTTAACCATATTTTCTGAAGTATTTCAGCAGTACTAATAGGTAAGAATTGTTTTTCTATTATTATTCATTTAATGTTGTTTAAATTGGCGCATTAGACTTATTATAATGCGCCTTTTAAGTCAAAAATTGGATTGGTTTGGATTAGATTGGATCTCTAGGCATAGGAGCCTAGCTAGGGGATAACAAGCATGCTATGACCTAGGCCTATTATTAAGAAAAGACAGAACTGAGGATATTCTAAGGAGGGCTAAGCTCAGTCTGCCCATAGAGAAAATAGAACAGATTTTCTCTATGGTCTGCCCTATAATTTAAGTATTGAGGGTGGTAAATTGGGCCGTGTTCTCACTTATTTATTATTGTAAAATCCATAAGATTTTTTACATAATTTTTAGGGTTAGGCCTAGGCCTTTATATGCTAGGGCTATGCTACTGTTATTATTATCATTATTACCAAAACTCCCTCATATTTACAACAACTTGCATTGATCTGTTAAATGCTTCTATTTATGTGAACAAATTAAGATTTCTTTCGGTAATGTTGCAGAACAGAATAAACATTTTTTTTTCTCAATTTCCAATTCACGGCAGCGGGTGAGCTAACTGGTCAAAAATAAAATTTTATTTTTATTTTAAATCTTCATCTTCGTCGAACAGTGGATTTGAAAAACAAAATATCAATACATTCATGTCGAAGGAAAATACAACATTTAAAATGTGGGTAGAAAATTTTAAGATACATTTTCAATAAACGGCAAAATCTGCTTAATTATTATGATTTAAAATTTTAAAACAATGAAAGCATTATTCATATTCCAACTGACAGTTCTTGTTTATTTTGCCCTGCCCCTCAATTTTTATTTTGACCTAGTGTATGTATTTTTATGATTTTTCATGACTCACTTTTTTTTTTTCAAAAAAATGGTTTCAAAATGCACAGGACAACTGCATGTATCACTTTGGTCTTATTTAAAGAATTGTTTTGTTATATCTTTCAGCATGTGAATCAAGGGTGAAAATCTGAAGCCACCATGATTCAATATTTCAAACCTAGTTTGGTCACTCTGCAGAATTCACAGTGGCAAGATTTCCAATTTGCTTTGCTACCATTGGACAAGAAAAAGCACGGATATAGACAGCTCATACAGAAAATTGCTGGTTTATACAAAAGTGTAACGCGACAGATTTTTGAACAGGGTTTTGTATAGTAAACTGTAGTTGAGGCTTTAATATAAATTACAGAAAAAAAAAACTAATTTGAAGACCGTAAAGCATTTAGGTACCGCTGGAATTTGAAGTATGTGCATCAGTAAGGCTTAAGACGAACAGTATTATGTGAAGGGGTATGCAAGTCATCGAGACCCTAGGGATTAATATCCCTACCCCATGATGCATAGTTGATGTTTTTAATTAAAGAAATCATGGTTTGTATATCTTGAACTCAGTGTATTTTGTATGTCTGCAGGAGTTGTTTAAGCCATTATTATTTTTCCATCCAGTAGCCACTCCAGCTCGAAATCAAATGCATCAATCATTCAATACTACTTGTGCATGCAAACAATATTGTGGCAGTGGAACCAATGGATGTCAACAACCAGCTAACGCATCAATAACAATTTACTAAGCAACCATTGCTTAAATTAACATTAACAAACAGTATATACTGTATTTACAAAAATAAGAAATTTAAATGAATATGTTATA